CATGCGTATTGATTTAACAATTTCATTTTGAGAAAGCAAAAACTACACACGTGTGAAGCTGGGTAATATTCAGATAGTATTATATAAAACATACATTTTAATTAAATTAATAACAATAATAGTTATACAATTATACAGTTATACTCATCTTTTTATAACACTCAGTATTTGAATGTTTACTCGAGTAGTCAAGTCGATTAAATTAACAGATGTTCATCGATCTATTATACGACAAATYAAACTAGGTATATCTTTTATGTTTACTAGCACAATGTTATAAGACTAAAAATATTATATGGATATATTAGATCATCAGTAACGAATCAAGCGGGATACTTTTGTGGGATTATAAGAAGGTACCCATGGTGACATTTAAAACTAAATGGTAATAGCAAACGTTGTATTTGCATTAGGACACAATTCGTTTACCCTTCAGGTGTAATCCGATAAGAACAAAAAAGGACCTCGTGGTGACATAACCGCCGGGAAATTGAAATTTTCACGGTTTCATAAAGCTTTATTCCGTGGTTGTTTATAATGTCCACAGTAAAAATAGCAATACCGTAGTTTTCCTATAGACATCATCGGGAAAGGTACATTATGAGGTTACAAGTAAGTAGACAATTTTTTTTCAGTTTATATTTCRTAAATAACAATGCATTTTGCTGTAGTAAAATCAATTTTGTACTGAAATTTCACTAAACAGTATAATGTTCGTTATTATTGTTTTGATTAATTTAATGGAAATACTACGAGTACAGTTATAATTTATCCAACAAATATTATTTTAGTTTTTGAAACTTTGGTAATTAGGTAATTCTAGTTTTTCTTTTATGGTTTTTTYTATATAATTTGTATGTAAAACTGGACGTTTCAAGAGCAATCTACACCAATTGATTCATTTAATACTAAAATGCTATTTTAGAATACCATATCAACATTTWAAAATGTTTTAATCATTTTACATTTGAATAAAAACATATGTTATAAATTTCATATTTCTAAGTTCTAAGCAAAATATTATTTGAAATATTTCAATAAAGAAAAAAATTGAATTTTGGATGATTAGTTAAGTAGTTATAACATAATTATTTAGAGTTTTAATGAGCAAAGTAACTAACCTGGTGATTAAATAATTTTCAAGAGACCTATTTACCAGTTGCCTCTACATTAAGATTATCTATTTAATTTTTWATTTTTGTAAGAAATGTACAATCTATTCTTATCAAGAACAATAAGAAAATGTGTACAGAGTAATTTACATGAATATTGAATATTTAGAGGGAAGAAGCAACTCATTAGTGACTATAACTATTTTAAGTATCTATTGTTTTTTTTTAATTTTAAATTTTTTTGGTTAGTCAAGTTAAGCTATTTTAAATTTGTGATAGAATGTTCTGACACCCCGATAATTTATGAACATTTTTTTATTTAAATTAATAAAGGAATATTGACAATCTCATATCTTTTTAATACATAACACAGGGTAATACCATAATCACATTGGACCTATTATCTTTATATTAGTACACAAAATTCAATAACTCCTGAGGAAGTACTCATTCATCCTTGGATTCTGATACGTAATCAATTTTCGAAAATAATAATCCACTAAATATTTAGCAGTAGAAGTAAGAGGATCATATTTTAAAACAGAAGTTTGTAGCTTTAGAGAATATTTCTTTAGTAAAATAAACTTTTCCTAAAATTTTAAAATATGGTCTTAACTTTTAAGTATAATATAGTAATAAGTATATTTAAAAATTAAAAATTAGGATTTTTAATAACTGCATTATTAAAGAAAAATGGTTCATGCTCAGTGAATCATTTTATAAAATAAATATTAGATACTTTGTTTGGATAATAATATTTTAAATTACGTATTAGTGTATTAGCTACGTTATGTTTACAATTTAAAAAAAATGTACATGCGTACAAGTCGTAAGTAAAATATATGCTGTCATTTAAAAAAGTAATTACTTATTCTAATATGATAAATTGATGACGATAGATAATGTGAATAGTGTAATCTTTTTCCAAATAAGTTGTTTTGTATGGTAAATAAATGCGTATATGTTTTTTTTTTAATGTTTAGAGTTTTTGAAATAATGAGCGTTATTCGAAAAAAGAATCAGTCAGTATTATGAGATTGTGTGATAACTTTTAGGATTAATAGGTATTTATATTAATTTTAATATTTAATGTTAATATAAAATTTGTATTTGATGTTGGTGCGGTCATTATGTTTGGATTTTCAAAAACAAAAACATGAAATAAGTAATACTACTAATAAGTAAGATGTTTTGAAAATATCCTCTGATAGTTTTTATTCTCGTTTGAATGATTAGCTTTGCTGTGCGTGGTCAATTAATCCGTTAAGTATAATATGATTAGGTATAATAAAATTGTCAGTGAATTAGTGAAGTGTTAAAAGTTACTCGAGTCACCCAGATTAGAGATTGACCTTCAATTCTTATTTACTTTTATTAATTTTTCTTCCTCGTTTTAATACCGTACCGGTCGTTATGTAAGCAGCTACAATTCGTTTTGAGCGTACGAAAACGTAAAACGACCCGTAAACAATATTGTTTAAAGTGAATTCTTTCAACTATAATAGATTGCCGATGGCATTGAATACAATTGAAATTACGTTGGACGCATCTCGATAAAAATAAAAATGAAAATCATTATTATTGTTTTAATGTATTTACAACTGAAACATAAACCAAAACATTGCAGTCGTGTATACCTATACCTGAAACCAAACCGTCGGACCGATATTGCTTTTAATTCTGATGGATTTATGATATTTGTGTGCTTTAAATTGCACTCGATTCATGTTTGAATTCAGTTGAAAGTTTACAAGTATTATATGAAAGCACACGATAAAAAAATCATTATATATTCGATTAATGCTGTAGTAACTTACCTATATCGAGCCAATAATAAATGTATAATGTACATAATAATATAATATTATAGGTACGTATCTAGCTAATAATTTAATAGGAATAATAAATAAATATATTGTACAAGACTTAAACCTGCACATAATTCTTAAAACATATAAAACATAATTTTGTCCACAGGTATTGTATATATGCCTGTTGACATTTGTCAACAACGTTTGGTGCCACGATGAAGTTCATGTTAAGAATGGTAACCACACCACCATAACTAAAGAATCAAATACAAGAAAACGAGGTATCGGTCATTACAATCCGATGGGGTGGGGTGCCCATGGAGTTGGTTCGTATGGAGTGCCCACCACGCCGGTACAAGGATACGGAGTATCTACGATGCCGGTGCAAGGATATGGAGTGTCTGCTGTGCCGGTGCAGGGATACGCGGTGGTACAGCAAACTGAACGACCAGTACCATATCCGGTGCCGTATCCGGTGACATACGACCGACCGGTTCCGTATCCGGTGTCATACGATCGGCCGGTACCGTACCCTGTGCAGGTGGACAGACCGTTCCCATATCCAGTGCAYGTGGACCGCCCGCTGCCGTATCCGGTGCAGGTGGAGAAACCACTGCCGTACCCTGTGCATGTGGACCGGCCGGTGCCGTATCCGGTGCAAGTAGAGAAGCCGTTGCCGTATCCGGTGGACCGACCCGTTCCGTATCCAGTGCAAGTKGACAAACCTCTACCGTACCCGGTGCACGTGGACCGGCCGGTGCCGTATCCGGTGCACGTTCCCTACAAAGTGTCTGTACCGGTGGACCGGCCATATCCGGTGAAAGTGCCTGTCCCTACACCATACCCGGTCGACAGGCCGGTTCCTTATCCCGTTCAGGTGGCTGTCAAGGTTCCAGTGGTACAGCAGGTACCAGTCGAGGTGTCCCGGCCTTATCCCGTACTGGTGCAGCAACCAGCGGCGGTGATGGTGCAACAGCAACCTGTTCTTTGGCAGAAGGTTTCGGCGCCACAACCATATCCGGTATACGTGACGGCACAGCCACCGACGCAGTGGCAGAAGCAGCCTACATATTACTCAACCGTGGACAACAGCAAAAACTATATCGGCATGCCCGTGTACAATGGAGGTAACCAGCCCGGTTACCAACGTGGTCAATACCCATCCGGTTATAGCATCGGTGTGAACCACGCTCTTATCGGGCTTGGCGTTGGTGGCCGCGGCCAGGGTGGGACAGGTAGGACAGGTGGAACAGATGGGACCGGTGGGACCGGCTTCATCGGAGGAGCGGCAGGCAGCCTGTTAGGAGCGGCGTACAACGTGATGCAAGCGTTGATATCTCCTGGTGGCAGCGTCAMTGGTTACGCGACCGGACACAACGACTATCTGGGGCCCAAGACTACAGGATTCACAACTGTCATCAACAAATGAAYAATGCCCATCGTATRTATAGAAAACGAGTGGCACGAGGTGGTGCATACTAACTATAGCTCACCCCATTGCTATATATTTCAATATACCAATTAAACAATTATAAAATAAAWAACAATACACAACAATTTTTATTATTTYGTATTTCATCTTCATTCCCAAGTAGGTACGATATTGGTACAGAATGTTATGTTATGTTGAAAATCAATTTACCGATCGAGGATCACTCGCATATTGTAATGTACAAAAATCGTACKTCCTTCACCACGTGGCCAGCGCATTAGAAATATGTGTGGTCGGAGACCTCAGAATATCGATACGATTCGTGGCATTCGTCGATCGATCTGCTTGCGCTTACAGGGGTCATAGTCCATAGGTATTATAATATCATTATAGTATTATTATACTCGTTACATAATAATTATTGCTGTATCACGGTGCATTTTAAAAATTCATTCTCGAATTCGGCGGTCATGAGTGCCTTCACGGCTTTACTGTATTATAGAGTATCACGATTTTTGTATACTTAATATTTTTTAATCACATTAATGCACATTCCTTGGTACCACGCGAAGTTAAAACGAGAGATGAGGACCTGTTTAGGCCTACGCGATCAATCATCACTGCACGTGCAGTAAGCGAAGCAYTCGAAATATACATTGTTTGTCCAAGTTGATCGAAAAGAAATAAAGAATCCACCTATTTGGCGCATTATTATATGTGATGACCGACACTATTTCGAGTTAGAGTGTGTATATTATATATTATATATATATATATATATATATTTGTAGCGTTTAAAAATACAAATATTTTAACTATAAAATTGTATTATAAATTATAATATCGAATAGTGTATACACATAAAATGAATTTTTCCTAGACAAGTGTCGTGTATATATACTCGAATATAGTAGAAAATAGAAGTAGTAAAATAAGTAAGTCCTGAACCATACTGATCATACATTATGAATGGTAAAATTTAATATTTATTAGACTAGGCATATTTTGATATACTTACTAGTAAAAAAAATGTATCTGTAATAATTTACTTATTATGTTTCTAACGGCAGTAAAACATCTTAATTTCGTATATTTTAATACTGTAGTATACATATTAAATAGGAATAGGGTTTTGGAGGTTTCAACAGTTTCTTCACACTTTTGTCAAACTCGAAGTCTATTATTATTGAATAAAAATTATGGTACATCACCTTCATACCTACCTATCGCATACGATCGTTCCGAAAAAATTATTATACACGCACACACATACCCCACACACATATATACCTACCTATACTGGATTACTCAACTATACATGACCTATAATATACATTGTCGGTTACTTTTTACGTACTTGCGTACAATCACAATTGCAATATTTTTCCCATCGCGTGTTGTGGGAAATTGGTCCACGATAATTCACACAAACACACATTGATTTAGCAACACAGTACCTAATCATTTGCCTAGAAAATTCTATTAGGTTTCCATGTGAACAGCAATCATAACTTTGCTGTCGTGTRGATAGTGAAGGTTAAACGAAGTGTGTGSGACGGCTTAATGAATTTTAATATTCGACGGTGGTTAATAAAAGCAGCAATACAATTTTTTTGAATAAACATTTTATTGCATATTAWATAAATATAAATATAGTTTAAATAACTTTTTATCATTTGATTTCATATTATATAAATAAATATTTTAGRAATTATGTAGGTTAAATCTATAGTRATTAGTAAAAGAACCTATCTAAAGTATGTATTTTTTCTTTTTACATTATTTCATTCTAGAAACTAGACTTTTTTTTGGACATTTATTTTGAGTGAACTGATGTCGAAGGAATCACGACATATTATTATATTACCACGTAAAACACAATGCTATCATCATCTTTAACTAGCGTATAGCAATAATTATACAATAATTATTTTAGTTAGTAATTTGAAATGTTACAATACACATATAACAACTCATTTTGTCATGTTTATAATTTTATAAATATGGCGCATGATCGCACCATATTTGTGTTTTGAATCAAAAAAAGAATAATAAAATTAGTATAGAGCTATTTAGTAATATTTTAATTTAATTTTTTATATAATCGGAAAAAAATTAAAAATTAAGGAAAACAGCAATTTCACGCAAAACCAGTTTTTTTTGTAAAAAACAAAGTTGATTTTGTTTTTTTTTGGCGTTAGTGTGTAACTCTGCAGTAAAAAATAACCGTAGTTACTTAAAATTGTCATCAAATTTTGATGTTAGAATTTAATTTACAAGGTATATATYATAATATTTTAATGGTATTTATAGACATATTGATTTTTTTTTTCTATTAATGTGGATAAACATTTTTTTACTTGGTTAGAAAGTTTGAAAACTGAATACAAAATTCCTGATAGTATTTTCATGCATAAATAAAAAAATATTGAAAAWATATTGTCAATATTTTTTATAAGCGTTTAAAGACAGAATTTTAAAACATTTGTYAAAATCATGAAAACTTGGAAATTATTTTGTACCTAATTGAAAATTTATAAAATGTTCAATTTTATAGTTAAGAATTAAAAATTTAAAACAAAGTTGTTACATCAAAAGTAGTCCATACTGTAAAAAAAAATAATTAATACAGTTTTTTTAAATAAATATTTTTGCTTTAAATTTGCTCAAAATTACTATCAATTAAATTAAGACTAAAATTTTTATTTATTTTATAGTCATTTTTCTAACAACAACTGATATTTTTGTAAATTGTTCAACATTAAGTCTATCAATCGCGTCAAAACGACCTTTTCATATACTTATAGCACTCAATATATATATACGGTTGATTTCAATTGGTMATTTTTAGGGTTGATAGTTTTTTCTTGCACATTTTTTGATTTTTTGTCGATTTGTTCAGCAATGGGTCCTTGGTTTGTGCTAAGTTCAAATTTTGTGTTTTCAGCGATTTCCAAACTCTTGTTGAATAAAAATGAGGCATTTTCTAATTTTAATAAAGATTGAGTGATAAAGCCAAAGTTAAATTTTATATAAATTAACCATGTCATTTTATATATATTTATATTTTTAAATAAAGCTATAACATTCTTTATCGATTTGTCAGAACTTTCGTCTAAAGAAAAAACCGCCGATTTTATGAGGTTGAATTTATTACTCGTAGCATATGCATTATATGGCTTCTAACCATGTTTCGGGTAAGTATATGGGTAGAGGCAAAGTTAATCCTGGAAATAGTTCTCGAAATTTGAACACACGACTAGGAGCTTTTAAAAATACTTTTTTCATACAACTTACTATATTAAACTAATAAAGCCTGATTGTTTCACACAATCTGTGAAAACCGTGTGCTACATATTTTACCAGTGGTATGCGCAGGGGGTATGATGATGGGGGATATATCCCCCATGGGCTTTTTTTTAGTCTTCAAATATGACTGAATTTTGGATCTCTAATTTTTTTTTTTTGTATAATTATAAAGATTGAAAATAATACATTTTTATACACGACATCCCCCCCTCACACATACCAAATTCCTGGGCACACCACTGCATGTTACATGTACCTATAATAATTGTGTACCTATCATTATATTTGGATACAATACAGTTAAAGAATCGGCAGTTTTCACCATGCATATGGCGCAGCATCAGTTAAAAATAAAAAACTTTATTATATTAAATTTGATCTCGTTTGGCCAAAGCATGTATATTTTTTAAAGCTAATACTTTTAGTATTTTTGTATGGCGATGAAACGAGTTGTAACGAAGTTTACCATAAAACGTGAATTTTTTGCGTTTTCTTAGTTAAAACATGTAGATAATATGCAATTATATTCATTTTTTTCAAAATATGCAAAAATATGCAAAAAAAAAATACCAGCATTTACCTCATAATTAAATTGATTCATGGACATTATTATCAAAATTAGTAATAAGATGTTGCATAAAATATGCCAATAATGTGCATATAAATGATAAATCCTAGCTCTAGTAACGTTTCATAAAAGTACTAATACTGTCATAAAAAGTTGGCCACAGCCTACCTTATAATTCATTTAAAATGTAGATTAAAATCAAAATTTTAAATTCAAGACTTTTTTTTAAATAAAACAACAATATTTGGTTAAATGACTATAACTATCACTTATCAGTAATTTTAATTTTTATAAATGTTGACGAAATTCAATTGGATAAAAACATATTTCAATAGCTGAAGGTAAAAAATTATATGCCATTTGTTTCATTAGTGGCCATAAAATTAACACAATTATTGGTACACTGATCCTAAAATACAAAATATTTTATTTTAAGTTCAACTAAATTTAGGCTATTCAAWATGTGATTGATGAACATGTGCGTAACACGGTAATACTTGTAATGCATAAATATAATACGTGTTATTAATCACCGTTGTTATCGGCGCGCGGCGGTCATTATTAATCGAGAGTCACGATAATGTCGCCCACGGTTCATAAGGTCCATCAACAGTATACGGTACCTATAGCGTTTATGCATTTATACTTTGTATAATAATATCGAATATCGATCCATAAAAGGGAAACTGTGCTATTGTAGTATACGAGTATTTAGTATAGGTGGTACCAATGGCTACTGAAAGATATTTTTCTTAAGGATAAACAAACATCAACAGTCAAATATTGTTACATATACCATACATTATTTATAAAGTGTATACGAATGAAAATTATTGCCACAACAAGGGGTTACACCTTGCACAATATGGGAATTGTGTACCTCACAAAAATAAAAGCTTTTTTCTACTATATTTTGAAGAAATATTATAATTAATTTCAAAAATGTTGTACTATAAATGTACTGTGTATTTAAGAATATAATAGGTATACTTTATGCTGTTATGATCTCAGCTATAACATAATAATATTATGAAATAATCTTTAGCTTATTGTATATGGTATCTATAGAATAGCCAACAGGTCACAGATACGTAGTTATTTATGGCACAATAATCATAAT